CCTTCTCATTAGGTGGCCAAAGGACTTGAGTTTCCACTTCAGGATCTGGCCTTCTAAAGAGCAGTCGGGGCTGATCTCCTCTAGGACTGACCGGTTGGATCGCCTTGCAGTCCAGGGGACTCGCAGGAGTCTTCTCCAGCACCAGAGTTCAAAGACCTCAGTTCTTTGGCGCTCAGCCTTTCTTATGGTCCAACTTTCATAGCCATACGTTGCAACTGGGAAAACCATGGCCTTGACTATGCGCACTTTTGTTGGCAGCGTGATGTCTCTGCTTTTTAGTAGGCTGTCTCCGTCCCTCTCAATTCCTGGCAAATAGATGGGGAAGAAATGGAGGTCGTGACAGATTTTATCTTCCTGGGCTCCAAGATCACCCCAGATGAGGACGGCAGCCAAGAAATTAAAAGACGCTTGCTCCGGGGGAGGAAAGCTATGGCAAAACTCTGGCATAAAAGGTTGCAAAATGGAACAAAACTCACTTTAAGCACTGTCTTGCTTAGCAACAGAAATTTGGGGCTGAAATGCAGTCGTAACGCGAGGATTCGCAGTATTGACCCGTAACGGCTTTGGGAAAGAACTAAATCGACCTTTTTTGTTGTTGTTGTTCAAAGGTATCGGCCGTGACCTCCTTGGAAGGACCCCTCCTTCAGGTGGAGGGACTAAGTGACCTGAGGCTGGAACTTCACAGCAAAAAGATGAATATGCACTTGGTCCTGATCGATGAACTCCACCGTCATCTCTACATCAAGTCCACCAGCAAGGTTGGACAACGGAACAAAGAAAAGGGGAGAGTAAGGTCCGTCTTGTTTATGCGTTCGTTTAGCCCAGGGGTAGGCAACCTTTGCTCTTTTGTGACTGGTGGACTTCAACTCCCAGAATTCCTGAGCCAGCCATGCTGAGGGGAAAGAGAGAGGTTTCCAAGCTGAGCCATGCTGGCTCTGGAATTCTGGGAGTTGAAGTCCACGAGTCAAAAAAGGGCCAAGTTTGAAGACCCCTAGTACATGGGTAGGCAACCTTGGTTCTTTTATGACTGGTGGACTTCAACTCCCAGAATTCCTGAGCCAGCCACGCTGAGGGGAAAGGGAGAGGTTTCCAAGCTGAGCCATGCTGGCTCAGGAATTCTGGGAGTTGAAGTCCACAAGTCTTAAAGTTGCCAAGGTTGAGGACCCCTGATATAGGGCAGGGTTAGGCAACCTTGGCCCTTTTATGACTCGTGGACTTCAACTCCCAGAATTCCTGAGCCAGCCATGCTGAGGAGAAAGGGAGAGGTTTCCATGCTGAGCCAGGCCGGCTCAGGAATTCTGGGAGATGAAGTCCAAGAGTCATAAAAGAGCCAAGGTTGCCTACCCCTGATTTAGCCACTCGTCTCCTAATTGCAACTCCATTAATGCAGGAAAACGACTGTCTTCCTACTTCAAGTAAAATGAAATTTGGGCCGAGCTGTGTAAGCCAACTCAACCTTGGAAAAAAAGCCATCCATCATTCTAGGGAACCAATAAACTCTCATTACTTTCCCTTTCCTTTTCCAGAGTCCAACATTGGGGGTTATTTTGATGACGATTTGATGGCTGGCCACGTACTTTTTTGCCCGTTTTTTTAGATACAAAAGCCTTCGAGATGTCTTTTGAGACTGTGTCAAAGTTACAACACCGGGCAGTCATCATGTTGTGGGATCATGAGCTACAAAAATGCTACAAGTCATAACGTTGGGAGGGATCTTAAGGGCTGCTCACCCCCAGTTCCCCGGTCAGCTCAGAGACCACCAAGACTCCACAGTCCTCCTCCTCCTCCTCCTCCTCCTCCTCCTCCTCCTCCTCCTCCTCTCCCTGCAAACTCCACTCCTTTCCAACACTGATGCTGTTCCCTAGTTGGGTCATGCAATGTCTTGCAAGCAAACCACCAAGCTCAGAGAGCACAAAGGACTCCACTGTTCAGTCCTGGGCTACGGATATTTTTTTTCTGTTAGTTTAAAGTTGGAGGCTTCCCCTTCTGGTTTGCGATTCTTCATGTGAAACAGACTCTAGGAAATTTATTTTTCATTTATTAAAAATATTTTATAGCCGCTCATCTTTGGACCACATCTGGGCGACTCCCAAACCAAAGTTAAAATGGCCTATAAAATCATGTGACGGCTTGCAAAGCTAAACAGATTAAAACATTAAAAACAACAACAACAACGAAGCTTTGTGAGTCCTTCATCCTCCTCCTCACCTAATTCCCTCGGGGATGTAGAGGCCTGCCACGTTAGGGAAAACTTTAATCTTCTCATTTACATGTCTGCCGTTGGTGAAGGCCTGCTGGAGGTCTCTCGGCTCGCAGGGGTTAAGTTTAATTTCCTTTCATTGCAGTTCACATGTGAAGGAGGCCTCTGCTCTGCCTCTTCTGGACGTTACTAACTTATCCACGCCTCGCAAGTTTGACTCCGCTCAATTTAGCAGCGGTGAGTGATGAAATAATCATCCCCCCCTCTCTCTCTCTCTCTTTCTATCTCTCTATATCTCTATCTATCTCTATATATCTCTCTCTCTGCCTCTCTTTATCTCTCTGCCACTCTATCTATCTATCTGTCTGTTTGTCTGTCTGTCTGTCTGTCTATCTATCTATCTATCTATCTATCTATCTATCTATCTATCTATCTCTCTGCCTCTCTCTCTCTCTCTCTCTCTCT